CTGTAAAGCATCTATCTTAAAGAAATTAACGGTCCAAATGTTTTCTTACTAGAATTATCATTTCTAGTTTTAAAATTTTAATTATTTTTTATATTCATGATCTCCATATTAGAGACATGTCTTTAAAAATTAAGTCTTAAAATCCATCTCAAAAATAGATTTATTAAGAAGCCTCCATTTCTACATATGCAGGCTTGGCCGCATAGAAACCGCGTCCTTTTGATTAGGTTTCATTCTAAATATATTATCATTAGTCTTTGTGTTGTGTTCTCCATACAAAAATTAATTTACACCATAAATTTTTGATAAATATACTATCAAAAATAAAAGAAAAAAACAAAATAGTTGGATATAGCCTTATCTAATCTGAAACATGCAACTTCTAACCCTCCACATGATCTGGATGGGACGCTTCCCTATTTGTTAAGTTGCCAAGCAATAAAATTTCTAGAAATTGTAGTAATTTTTAGTTTGCCAACTAGGAATGCTGCACTCAAAGGAAGTCTGCATTTCTCACAAACAGGAAAATCAGCCGTCCCCCCTTTCTCCCTCATGGAAGAGTAAAATTCTCATAAAATAGAAAAGATGGCTTTCTTATTTTATGGACTATTTGCCAATTTTGAAAACATGGTGCATAGTTTGTATTTATTTTTATTTTATTTTCTAAGTTGGGTTGAAATAAAGTTTGGAGAGTGTGTGCACTTCATTGTGGAAAACCCAAAAGAAATAAGGGAAATTTGTAATGCTACATTTAAGATTTGTACGATTTAATATCGCCCATTTTTATTTATTTATCTAATTTCAAATATAGACGAATTTTGAATAGCTCATCAAATGAAGTATCAAAATGGGAGTATGAGGCCATATCCCTTCTTTTATGGTCTTTGATGATGTAGTTTCTTTTTCGTAGTTATCAATAAAAGTAATATTTTTTGTTTCTAAAAAAAAAAAAAAGAGTTGAAATATATCAAAATACAACGAGGGTATTTTAAAGCTTCCAAAATAGTTCGTATATATTTTTTTTAATATATATGTTATTTAGAGGTGCACAAGAGCGAGAAGTATTGATGCTTAATTTGATGTAAAGAATTAATATAAAATTAAAATAGTCAAAATATGCTCTCAAATCATTAAATTAGTCTCTTCTTTTAGGAAAAGTCTTCCATTGCATATAGGAAAAAATGAACAATGAGTTCACCTACTTTCATCACCATCCAAAGTTCATCACACGGTCACGCTTGTCCGGTAGTGTTTTATTTTTCATTTTTTTCTACAAATCAGAATGATCTGAAATTTAGAGAGTGTGTACATCTTAGTGAGGAGCACGTAATAAAAATATAAAAAAATAATTCGTAAAAACAAAATTGACCAATGCCCCTGAAATTTTTTGAGGGTATTTCGGTCAATTTATTTCATGTAAAATATTTTTTTGATATTTTTCGTAGATTTGCCTATTTTTTATAAACACAGGCTCCAAATGTCAGATCATTTAGATTTATACAAAAAGTAAAAAATAAAACACTACCGAACAATCATGACCGTACGATGAACTTTGGACGATGAAGAGGGTAGGCGAAATCACTGTTCATTTTCGCCTAGATGAACTTTGAACTTTGGACAGTGATTTGTCATTAAATATGCTCTCAAATCATTAAATTAGTCTAACAAAATAGATCATCTAGATAACACAAAACTTTCCAATATTGAAACCATATTTCTCAATACTATTCGAAGGTGGGCTCTAATTTGATTGTTTAGAGCCTTGGCTCTATACAAATCGCACCTTTTTTTAAATCTATACTATTTTTGAAATTTTAAATTTTATAACTACATATGAAAATATAATTTCAAGCTAACACAAAACTTTCCAATATTGAAACCATATTTCTCAATACTATTCGAAGGTGGGCTCTAATTTGATTGTTTAGAGCCTTGGCTCTATACAAATCGCACCTTTTTTTAAATCGCTGTTAGATATTCAAAACTCTACCTTTCAATTACCAAAATTGGAAATTTTCAATTTTGATTTCGGCTTGCATTTGCCAAACTAGCCCCTAAAAAGCTATAGATTGTGTTTCGACAACCAAGAAATATAATCAATGTCGAGGATTTCCATTTATGGGAAACACGAATAAAACACGTTTAGTTTGTTCGATAACTGGTCATCTCCAAAATGATGGAGACAAACCTTTCTTTTCTTTGGTGGCCATTGCAGACATAACTGGAAGAATGGTTCATATCCACCGTCCATCCGTGGGTGAAGGAAGACATACCATTTATTGCATATGCGACTTCCTAACATACACAAATTTTTATATTTATTAAATTCCTCTTATACAAATATGATAAGCTAGTTAATCAAAATAACGGCCATTACTTAATGGTGCACATGTCTTAAGAGTTTTATTATTATATTAAAATTTTGGTAAAAATTTATTGCCAATGGTTGTTATAATAACATTATTGTGGAAAACTTTGTTAAAATAAAATACAATGGTCAAGTACCATTAATTTTTATATTATTAAATGCATCTTATACAAATATGATAAGCAAGTTAATCAAAATAACGGCCGTTACTTAATGGTGAATAAGCCTCATCACATACCTGAGTTTTATTATAATATCAAATTTTTGGGCAAAAACTATTGTCATTGATTGTTATGATAACATTATTGTGGAAAACTTTTGAAAATAAAATAGAATGGTCAGGCACCATTGTTTTACATTTTCCTTTGTTTTTTTTATTATTCATTTTTCATCATAAATTTGCGTCATATACTAGTTTCTAAAATCGATTAAAGAGGACAATATCAAGTAAGGGTATTTCAAAGTTACATACAAGTAACACCAGTTATAATATACATGAAATGTAATAAGTAAAGAGTAATGATCCTATACATGAAATGTAACAAGTGAAATATCCTAGTGGGTGTTGTTTTAATAAGAAAATGTGTAAATAATGAATAATTTTTAAAAGTTGAGGAGCTAAAAAACGTTATAATGAATAAGAGACAAAATTTAATTTCCCATTTTTAAAGGAATTGGGGTTGGGATTAATTGGTTAGTTTTTTACCATGGTCCAAACCAATTTTGATTTGCACCATTGAACTACAAGAGTGAGGGGCTTAGGAGCATCGTCGGAAGCACCTTTATAACGAGTCCACCTCTTAAAATCCATATTGAACAGGAATTTTAGATCCAAAGCAGGTCTACCATCTAAATCACCATATTCATGAATTTGAAAAAAAAAAATAAAAAATTTTTGAGCCTTACAAAAAGTTAAATTCGTACTTTTTGTGGTTCATTTCAATTTTAATAATCATCATCGTTGAAGCTTTATGCAAATTTGGGATCAGCAAAATTAATCATACATGCTATTCTGCTCTACTGAAGAGCGTATCCTCAGTCAGATTATTGCCACTATATCTCTTCTCATGACTTCTATCTATGTCTTTTGAGCCTTCCCCTTGCCCTCTTAGAGTCCTCCATTTGAACCAAATCACCCTTCCTAAGCAGTTGATGCTGCGCATGGTGAGGCCATCTATGTCTATTTTCCCTCATCTTATCGCCTATTAGAGCTATTCCTAAGTACTCTTTTATGTAGTGATTCTTATTCTGTCATTTATTGTATTGCTACTCATCCATCTCAACATCCCATCGTAGTTATATTCATATTACTAATAAATTGTTTCTTGACAATGTAATATTTTGTTCTATAAAGTATTCTTGGTCTTATAGCCATCTTATGTAACTTTTCTTTTAGTTTCATTAGTATGTAATTATCACATAAGACTCTAGAAGTACGTCTCCACTTCGTCAGCATAGTTTTAATTCTATGCGCGACATCGTCTTCAATCTCTCCAATCTTTTGGACATCAATTTATTTTAGTTTTAATGATAACACCAAATACGTACTATTTTGGGATCTCCAAAACATGGATCTGAGCTAGAAATAAATTAACAAGGATTTATGATTAATATATCCTTCGAAACCGGCAAGGATGCATGAGCTGGCCAACTCACCTAGGGTTAGCAATTGGTCAAGTCCGAGTCGGATCTGGACCCGGACCCAACCCAAAAATTAAAATATCTATGTATTTAACTATAGGTGTGATCTCTATAAGGTTGCAACCTTAAACAATCCAATTAAGACTTCCTCCAAATTTTATCATAACATGTAATTTTGGTATAAAAAATTCTTAGGATTATCCTAAAATCCATTTTGATCTCTAGCTACAAAATTTTAAGCTCCAAAAATGGTTAGGATCAAGTAGATCTATATACATATGAAAATCTTGAAAGTGGACGGTCTAGATAATGTGTTGCAAGATGCACTATTTATGGGATTCAAATTTTTATTTATTTTTCATATTCATACATCTTGATGTCAAGATGATCAATTAGAGAGTTTTTCAATATTAAAACAACCTTGATCGATGGATTTTTTATGTGCATCTTTATTTCTGCATTTTTAAGTTGCACCCTTATATAACTTTTTTGTTTTAACTATATTTAAATATATTTCCTGTATTGAGACCCGATAAACATTACTAGAACCTAAACCAGAACTGGACCGGGACCCAAATAGTATTCAAATCCAAGATTTGGACCTAGACCTAACCTGCTGGGTCCAATTTTTGGATCTATACCAAAATCCGAATCAGGTCTACTCTCGGGTCCGAGGTCCACTGCCAGCCTAAACTCACAAAATGCTTCCCCTTAACAATAATTTTTCCTTTTTATCGTCATTTTTTCGTGCCGAGATTCTAATAACTATAATACAAACGTACATTGCACGAGACTTCCATCTTTATGTCAGATGTTAAACTTTGCTCAGGGGCATAACTGCAATATATATATTAAAATCGAGAGGCAATACGAAGTTGTCGAGCTAGAGAGTGTTTTAGCAACCAGAATGGAACTCCAAGGGCATTTTCGTCATCTTGTGACGCAAATTATAGAAGCTGAAGCGCTTTCTCCTCTATATATATACACTCCTTCCTCGACCTCTTCACATGAAAATGAAATGAAAATGGCAGAGAAGCTACAATGGAGGAGAGACCGGACACTCTCACTTCTCTTCTCCACACTGCTTTTCTTTTCCTTATTAACACTAACACAGGCCACTCCACCGAGCCCACTTGAAGCCACTACCCCGAACCCCCCCACCCCACTCTCACCCAACGGCTCGAGCCCACCACTAAATCCGGTCACAGCTTGCAAAACCAGCCTGTACCCCAAGCTTTGCCGGTCCCTCTTATCGCCCTTAAAATCTTCGAGCCTCAAAGATTACGGCCGGTTCTCCATCAAGAGGTGCATGAAAGAAACCCAAAAGACCGCCAAAGTGATAGACCGATTCCTCACCCGACGGTCCTCATTGCGCCACGTGGAGGCGGGGGCGCTCGAGGACTGCCGACTTCTCTCCGATCTGAACGCCGACTACCTCACACAAATCGCCGGCGACCTTTGGTCATCTGACTCGATATCAGACACGCGAGTCGGTCGAGTCAACTCGCTCTTGAGCGCCATAGTGACCAATCAGCACACGTGTTACGAGGGACTCGAGGCGTCATCGTCTCGATTGCAGCAGTTACTCGGCGCTTCTTTGGCGAATGGCACAAAGCTCTACAGCATCTCTTTGGATTTAGTTGCAAACGCCTGGAAACAAAAAGGACGATTTCCCGGCCAAAAACCAGCCATTTTTCCGGCCAGGGATAGTTTTCCCATCCATAAACCGGCCGGTTTTCCGGCTGAAAAGGGGTTTGCCGCTGAAAAATTGCGGTTTCCTGCCAAGGGTCTTGGGATGAGAGACTTTGTCACGGTTTCCAAGGGCAAGGATGGTAATTTTACAAGCATTAATGAGGCAGTGGCTTCAGCACCTAACAATACGAACGTGGAGGAGGGTTATTTTGTCATTTATGTAAAGGAAGGGGTATACGAGGAGCATGTTACGGTGGCGAGAAACAAGAAGAATTTGATGGTGATTGGAGATGGGATAAATCGGACGGTTGTGACGGGGAACCGGAGCGTGGTGGACGGCTGGACCACGTTCAATTCTGCTACTTTTGGTGAGATTTAATTTTTGTTTATTAGTTTTAATATTAATTGACCAGAAATATCCTTGTGACTTTTACAATGGCAAGTCCAAATATGCAATCCACTCCTGGATTAATTAAGTTTCTCGAATAAATTTATCATACTTTAGTACGTTAACAAACAATTATTAATTTAACAATACTCTAATACTCCCTTAAGGGTAATGTAAATAATTAGTGAAGAGATGTACTTTTTCGAGCAATACGTACAAAAGAAGGTGTAAGAATTCAATAAACATAAATTGGCCTTTATTGGATACCTGTCATGGCCCTTGAATGCATCTTGCGTTACGAGCCTCATTTAATATTCTCAAAAGATTTCATGGTCACCAGGGATCATACAAAAATTTGAACGGACACTTAAAAATCGTTCATCATTCAAATATCGTGATACAAGATGTATTATTCTGACGACTTTGTCCATACATTTCCAGCTCAATTAGATTTTCTAGCAGCAAAAGTACTTTTGCAAGGAATTTCTGAGGTAAAATTGTTTCAAAATGTGGCGGGTGACCCCTTTCTACGGTAGGTAGTCCATCTAAAAACACTTAGAAACTAACAGTGCATATGTTTTTTTAATAAAACTATTATTTATAATTTTTAAAATTTACTTATTTATTTATATTCAAGATCTCCAACATGTGAGAGATTACATGTTCTTAAAAATTAAGTCCAAAAAATTATCTCAAAAATAGATTTTTAAGAATCAGGACCATTTTAACATATATTTCGTTGTCATCGCAAGTCGAAAGACAGAAAAAGAGGTGCGTCAGTAACCCTCATGATTTTATCGGGAGGGTGAATAGGCTATATGTTCTTGAGTGGGCATATGGTTTCTCGGGTTTTAATTTTAAGGAAAATATACAAAGATATCATTTACTTTTGATATAAAAAGGTCATAGTATTGTCCCTCATGTTTCAAATTGGTGGTAAGAGTGACTAGTCTCAAAGAATTTCGGACATTTGTGGCACAACCAAATTATCTAATTTAATATTTAATAGTTAGAAATAATTGTGACCTCTTTATACTAAAGTAAAAATCAAATTATCTAACTTAATATTTAATAGTTAGAAATAATTGTGACCTCTTTGTACAAAAGTAAAAAGTATCTGCAATCCAATGTTTATTTTCCAATTTCTTATATTAACGATCTCCCTGATAAGGATCTTTCTCTCGTGTCTCTGCAGCTGTGATGGGTGAACGCTTCATCGCAATGGACATCACCATCTGCAACACGGCTGGCCCCGAGAAGCACCAGGCAGTCGCCCTGCGTAACAGCGCAGACCTCTCTGCTTTCTACCGTTGCAGCTTTCAGGGCTACCAAGACACCCTTTACACCCATTCCCTTCGCCAATTCTACCGAAATTGCGATGTCTATGGCACTGTTGATTTCATTTTTGGCAATTCCGCTGCTGTTCTCCAAAACTGCAATCTGTATGCACGCCAACCTATGCCTAACCAGAAGATAGCCTTTACAGCACAAGGGCGCACCGACCCGAACCAAGTCTCTGGCCTCTCTATACATAATTGCACTATCAAGCCATCGCCCGAGCTCGATAAGAACAGTAGTTTTAATGAGGTTTATCTAGGAAGACCATGGAAAGAGTATTCAAGAACAGTTTATATGCAAAGTTATATTGATGGCTTTGTTGATCCTGCTGGTTGGCTCGAGTGGAATGGGAGCTTTGCATTAGACACGCTTTATTATGGGGAGTTTATGAACCGCGGGCCGGGTTCGAACACGAGCCGGAGGGTACAGTGGCCGGGGTTTGATGTGATGGATGCGAGGGAGGCCTGGAATTTTACAGTGTTGAATTTTACTATGGGGGATACTTGGTTGCCTTCCTCTGTGGTGCCCTTTGCAGGGGGGTTGTTGTAGCTAAACTAATTGGCCCTGTATGTATTAGAAATATATAATATAATCATAATTTTTAGATAGCTTTTATATTTCCTCTCGTTGATAACAATATTAATATTATTATTATTATTATTATTATTATTTTTATTTAAGGCAATTCAGTGGGGAAGATACCTAACCATTTTTTCAAGTAGATTAGGAGTCCGTGGGTGTTAGCGGTGGGTATGGATTGCCCAACGCTATATATTCGACATTGAAATTTAGTTTAGCTAGCAAAGAAGGAACAAAATATATCGAGTAAGGTTCACCATTTTACAATAACTTTCAAATCTAAGGCTTTTTCTCCCTCAAAGCAGGGAGAGAGTCACATTTCTACCATGTCTTTATCAATTAAGGCCTCGTTTGGATTGCTGAACAAGATTATTGAAGGGACAAAGTTTTTAATGAGATATTTATCAAAATGCACTTCATTCTAACAATTTATATTTGAAAAGGTGTTATATGCATCGTGGGGGCGCATTTCTACATATTGATGGGTGGACCGGGAAAACCTACACATCATGGAATTTTGTTGCACCCAAACAAGGCCTAAATGTTACTATTACTGTATATAGTGTGGTGTACAATCTATAAAGAAAATTTACGAATTGGGTGAAGTAGCTTTGGTCACCCTTTGCATTGTTCTAATTTTTGGGTCACTAATATCACCTTCTCAACATAAATGGGCTACAATGTTGTGGGTGGTAAATTAAAACTACAATTAGTTTCTAAAACGAAATTAATCCAATGCTCATCTCATCCTTGGGATTTAGCTTAGTTGTGAAACCACTTTGTCTTCTATCAAGAAAAATACAAAAAGATAATATTTGCTAGAAATGAAATCTTTAAATAAAGCAAGGGCCTTTATTGAGGCTCACAACATGGGACTTTTTTTTTGGCTAGTTTTTACCACGAAAACTTAGATTTCATAGACAAGGGTGGCAATGGTTTGGGCTGGCCCAGCCGGACCCCGGTCTTGTTAGGGCTGGGTAAGGCCAAAAAAAAAAAAGAAAAAAAAAAAAAGGGACAGGGACGGGCTGAACTAGGTCGGCTTCGGCCATAGCTCGGGCCTCAAGACACAATTTGTGGCCTGAGCCCTATATTTTTGGGATAGGGCAGACCAGGTCGGGTCGGGCTGTGTAGCCCATTGCCAGCCCTACTTATATAATAGCCCCATGTTATGGAATGGGAAAAACAGATGGTGTCCCACCAATGCTTAGTGCGATCCCATTCCCAAGAGTTATTCTTCGCTCTCATGATGTCTTTACGTGCAAATAAAGAACTGTTCAATAGCCTATAAAGTTAGTAAAGGGTTGCTATCTTCTCAGGGCTCACATTTTGATGCCTCATACACGAACATTCGTTCTCATGTCTCAATCACTCGTTAATGATATGGATTTAGAGTATGAAAAGTGTAAGAGGTGGGGATTGCTTTACCTTACAGTGAAAAGAAAACGCACTGAATGTTGTCTTGTCCAGAGAAAGTTTGGTAAGTGTTTTGTGCATATTATGCACATGTACCGACAGGAAGTATGTGATGAATTAAGTCCTTACGGTTTGGATGCAATATTCCATGCTTCCAGCTGTGGTTTTTTATTTCTTAAATTAACATAAGAAGGAGAGGGGAAGCATCGATTTGTAGGTTTTCTTTTTTTCTTTTAAATTATTCTCTTAACATTAACTTGGGCCTAGTGTCGTTTCACGAAAAGAAAGTTAAATTGAGAGCTAGTGAGAATGGAATGATATACATCATAGACCTGCCGGAGCCACCTGTCTAGAGCAGGCTCGTACTCATAACTTTTCCTTTTTGTACATGTGTGGCTGCCACCTTAGCCATTTCTCTCTTTTCTGTGTCTTATTCCTTTGTTTCTCATATGCAACTCTCTACCGTTCCTTTCCCCCTTGTTTTTTTTATTTTTTTATTTTTTTTTTAAGGCCATTGGGCTCCTTAAAACGGGAGCCTTAGTAGAAATATTGGTAGTTGGGACTTTTGTTTGCTAACATGTTTAGTGTTTTTGGGTTTTTTAAGGCCATTGGGCTCCTTAAAACGGGAGCCTTAGTAGAAATATTGGTAGTTGGGACTTTTGTTTGCTAACATGTTAGTGTTTTTGGGGATTTCAGTATTTGTGTTTAGTTAAAGGGTGTGGTTTATATAGAGCTGAGGCTCTAAACAATCAAAATAAAGCACACCTTTAAATACTGTCGAGAAATGTGTTTCAATACTAAAGGAGGACTTGTTATCTAATATATCTAAACCACCGTCTTGGTGGTTACCATCTATTTGGCTGCAAGTGATGGACTTGTTATCTCCGTTGATGATTAATCTTCATCATGTTTATAGGGAGGCGAATGAGATAGCACATGATTTACCCAAAAATGGGTACTTATGGATTCCTTGAGAGTTTCTTCTTTTCTTTTCTAAGTGATGCATGTTTCTTATTTAGTAGTGAATAAAAAGTAAGTACTCTTTGTCCAAAAAAAATATTGGAAATCTTTGTGACAACTTTAAAATATATTTTTATTTTTAATTATAAAATTTAAAGCTTAAAAAATAGTGTAGATCAAACAGATCTATAAAAACCTGAAAATCTTGAAAATTGACTGTCCAAAAATTTATTACAAGATGCAATATTTCCAAATCTTGAATTCCATTTTTTTCTCATGTTAATGCATCTTTAGGTTGAGATGATCAATTGGAGGATATTTGGGCATCAAAACATCATCTTCTAGTGAAATTTTTGACATGCGCCCTAATTTGATTATTTAAAGCATCACACATATATAAACTCTTTCCTTAGTTAAATTAGAGAATCTACAAATTAATCTATTTTGGTCATTACATATTTCATCAACTAAAAGTTTGAAATTTATGGAATGAGATTTTTCATCCATAACAAGATAACAAAATGGACGTTTCATATCAATATTTCTTAATGCAATTACTCTCTCTCTCTCTCTCTATGTAGAACAATCCCAATATTAGGTAATTAAAAGGTTAAAAAAGGCTGAGGTTTTTTAGCAAAAAAGTAGATACTTCACCTCAAAATTCATTGAAAATTATAGTTCAAGCATCAAAAGACTTTCAAATCAATCATCTCAAGCTCGACCATTATGGTTGTGAAAAAATTAGGATTTCAAGTCTTCAGAAATAAAGTACATTACAACACATTATCTAAACTATCCATTTTTAAGTGTTCATGGATTTATAAGATATGTTACCATTTTTTGAGCTACAAATTACATAATTAGTGGTGGAAATAGATTTTAAAGCCATCTTTTAAAAGGGTTTGTAAGACAAAATTTGGAATTGAGGCCCTACTTTATTCCATAAAACCTGGGAGTTGTAAAAACTGCATCCATTATGTAAAGAAAGGCGTAGCCCAAGTAAGCTGTTATAAGGGAAGCATGACCTTGATAGCAAGTGGAGGATTTTTATTCTAGGAGTTAGAAAACTAAGGAAGGGGTAGATTTTCTATCATATAGCTTACATGGATATCAACTTTAGAGACCAAATTGATTAAGAATGAGAGATATCTTTCGTAGGCCATTTTTTTTTTTTTTACCAATATTAAAAGATCTGTTGATCTAATAAAAGAATTACAGGTGATTTACATCATCAGAGATGAAAATCAAAGACAAATGCACTCCTCTCTTAGCTAAAGCCCAAGCAATTGCTTCGCTGCAAACATGTTGGAAAGACACCATCAAACCCCCGGCCAATTCTAGAATCTCACACTACAACGGTTTTATAGACCAAGGCACACATTGTTCATTTATACACCATTTGATGACATACAAGGAGTCAACCTCCACAACACATGGCATTCCTAAGTTCTTGGATTTGAGGATCTTAAGCCCTTGAAGTAGAACGGCTAATTTAGCATGGTTGGCTGTCGCCACACTTAGAGGCCCCAAAAAACCAAAGATGACATTTCTCGAGGAGTCTCTCACAATACCTCCAATCCCTGTATCACCTGGATTGCCAAACGAATTTCCATCAAAGTTCAATTTTAGCGAGCCCTGTATTGGAAGAACCCATGTTCCTAGTGGTTTGTTGTTGACAACCTTTAATTGGACAAGGTTGTGTAGATTTAACCAAACATCTACTTGAGTAATATCTTGACACTCCTTAATTATACTCAACCAGCTCCAAATCGAATGAGATATATTATTAAGAACTCTATCCAAAGGCAATAAGGACCCTTCAAAAACTCTCATATTTCTCTCGTTCCAAATCTCCCAAAGAACTGCTCCTCACCATTTTCCAAATTAATACCCCAACACTTGATAAATAGTGAAAAGCTAGTTGATTTACTAAGCCCTCGACATGCTGAGGTAAAGCCACACAAATACCCAACCTACTTAAAAAAACATTCCAAACCCTTGTACTGAAGGGACAATGAACAAACAAGTGAGAACATGATTCTCCCTCCCTTTTATACAGTAAACACACATTAGGCAAAATTTTCCCACGTTTAATTAGATTGTCAATTGTGAGTACTCTATCTTGGGCAGCCAACCATACAAATACCTACACCTTATGTGGAATTGGACATCTCCACATCGAAGCTAAATGAGGCATCGACTATCTCCACTTATCATGAAAAAGGAGACAATAAATCAATTTAAGAGTGATTGATCATCCACCTCAACATCCCAAATGATTTCATTTTTTGTATCCCTTGAGAGGTAGACCTCCCCCAGCATCTTCAATAAACTAGTATAACAATCCAGAAGTCTATTATCCATTCTATTGTCTGGGAAACGTAAATTCCAGCATACTTGGTTACCCACAATCTCATAGACTTCAGCTATAGTTGCCTTTGGGTTTTCCACCTTTTCAAAGAGGTCCGGGTATGATAGCTTCAATGCTACATCCCCTAACTACCTGTGATGCCAAAAAGAAACTTCCACCCCTATTCCAGCCACCCACCTAAGGTTCATCGACACCAAATTTTTGCATTGAAAGATATCTTTCCAAAAATAGATCTTCTCAAACTACCTCTCCCTCCTCCAATCCATAATCAAAATTGATCTAGACCGTATTTAG